AAACGCGGGTTAAGAGAGAAACGAATGCACCACGCTTCCAACACGCCCGGACGGACGGAAAGCCTCCACCTGTGCACGGGGGCGCAAAAGGAACACAACCCCTCTCCCCGCTGGGTCCACATCCGCCGGTTGCCGTGGGCACCACCAACAGGACTCGACGCAGGCGAAACCCAGGAGACAGAGGATCGTAGCCTTCGAAGCCCACAACCTAAACGCAGCGGAACCACGACGCAACGCGATCCGTTACGGTGTGCAGCATACCGAGACCACAGGATGGGGGACACGACGGGCACAAGCGCGCATTCCGAAAAGTCGGGCGAATGACGAGCCCAACCTCGCGACGCCGTCGGAGGCTGCATCACGCATCGCACAAGTCTCCGCCCTCACATACGGTAAGCAGCGCGTGCATGGCCGAGGCCACCTGCGCCACCGCTCAATGGCGCCGCTCGGATGACGAAGAGCGCAGAGCGTCCTCCCCAAGTCGTGACACCCCCTCAACACAAACGGAACGCGCCGTTGTGAGTGCGGACACGAAGACSACACCACAACAGAGCCGCAACAGCTCTCCCCGTAACCTACGGGATGATGGTGCCAAAGCTGAGAGCCGGTGACGGTCACCTCCGCCTCCACACCCTGCAAACGACCGCCAACCGGACTGTCGTCCACGATCAGGCGCCAATCATCGCAAGACGATGAGCGAGGGTGAACGCAACGATYCACAACCCGGCACCACGGCATAGGAAAGCCCCGACAGCCGCAACCGCCACCAACGACGACCGAGATGTCGTGAAATAAGCCCTCCGAGAGAGACGACCATGGACCCGAACGGCGCCGCAGAAATGTTCTCTCGACCACCAAAGCACGACTCGCCCGTCCCTTGCAAACTAGAAACCACCCAAAGCGTGTGCAGAGAGTCCCTCATAACTCAAGTACAAGGTCCCAAAACCCACGCCAGGAACATCGCCTTCGTCGACTGCAAGGGGGCTGCTAAGCACGCAGGCCCCTATAAGAGTGCAAACGGGACTCCGAACCGCCAACCACCGACTGTTTGGCACATCCGGAGGGTGCTCACTGAGCCATCCGCCGAGGGACCTGCACATGTCCCTTTCCAGCAAGCTGACTGGACAGACCCCAATGCCGATGTCCCCCTCGGGACCTCATCCCTTTTCGCTCTCAATAAGACGCCTCTGGACCTTCGATCCTGGGCGACCCCCTTTTCTCGGGGCCGTTTCTACGCCCGAGTGGCAGTGCGCGGTATCTGCTGCCCCCACAAAATTCGACACCTCAAAAGTCCGTCCCATCTCCATCCCTTCAACACACAAAGGGATAAGCGGAAGGGCCGGGGAAAAAAAATAAATACATTAAAAAAAAAAAAAAGGGACGAAACAAACAGAGAAAAGGCCAAGCAACTTCTGTGCCTAGCGACTCAGATCACGCCGCGGTGTGGGAGTAAAAAGTTTAGGGGAAGTCTGGCTGAATTGCGCATCCGTTGTGGGGTTATGTGCTGGCGAACATGACCGGACACGCACTCCAGAAAGAGAAGGGGGGAAAGAAAAGTCAAGGATGACTTGACAAAATCGTCATTTCAATTTGTGTCGGCC